CCCAGGCCCAGAGTTCAGGCCCCACGACTGGACCCCCCCCCCAAAAAAAAAGAAACATGGACAATTGGCAATGTTACTGTTCAGAGAAGAGTAGAGCAAATCTCTCCCCAGCATTTGAGGAGCATTTATGTTGAAGATAAATATTTTTTGGAATCTTCCTTGCTCCTTGTGCTTACATTTTGAGATTTGATACTTCCCTTCACCACCATGGTTTTGAAGTTACTAAGATAGGCCCAGATCATTTTTCAGGGCTTACGTGAATTGAAGCCTCCGTCCACCTGGGGCTGAGCTGCAAGGCTGGAGAAGAATGCTCTGGAGGAACAGGCTGAAATGAAAATAAGACCTTTAACTGGTGTTACGGGGATGAGAAATGGGCAATCTGCATCACAGGGTGTGGTAGGTGAGAATGGTAATTAGCAAAATCTTTTTTTTTCTTTGCCGGTCATGGGGCTTGAACTCTGAGCCTGTACACTATTATCCCTCAGCTCTTCAGCTCAAGGTGAGCGCTATACTACTGGAAACACAGCTCCACCTCTGGTTTTCTGGTGGTTAATTGGAGATAAGAGTCTGGAAGCCAGGCGCCAGTGGCTCATGCCTGTAATCCTCCCTACTCAGGAGGCTGAGATCTGAGGATCTCGGTTCAAAGCCAGCCAGGGCAGGAAAGTCCATGAGACACTGATTAGTGCAGCACAATAAATTTGAATTTTGCTGGGATCCTGCTAACCTGCACCTTAGCCAGCATTCTAATCATTTCCTCAGACTTGTTAGGTAGCACTGTATTGATGTACAACACATCCTACTTATGGCAGGAGGTGTATACTTGCCCACTCAGCTGTTCCAAATTGTAGAATGTAGAGAGAACAGCAGATGGATCTTGTTCTTGGTCTTCTAACTTGCAAAGACATAATCCTACTGATAATTACTCATTATGCATGGCGAGAGATTTCTGTTAAAAGCAAACTCTCAGCAAGGTTAATCTCTAATAGTTGGTGTTATAACTAATCATTACCTCTTGCACAATTTGTTTTTAAGGCTTATACATTTCTACTACTTGTGTGTGTGTGTGTGTGCCTATGCTGGTACCAGTGCTTGAATCTAGAGCTCTTGCGCTGTTATACTCTTGCTTGGCATTTTTTGCTCAATGCTGGCACTTTACCACTTGAACCATATCTCCATTTCCAGATTTTTTGCTGGTTAATTGGAAATAAGACTTTTCTGCCTGGGCTGGCTTTGAACTTCAATCCTCAGGTCTCAGCCTCCTAAGTAGGATTACAGGCATGAGCTACCAGTGCCCAGCTCAGACTACTTTTATATAGCAAACTAAAAGCCTAGGTTTTTTTATGCTTAATTATTTATACCTTATTTTAAAA